TGTGTGGTCGCCAGAAAGACAGAAAGACAGAGAGACAGAAAGCGAGAAATCACCCCCAGGGAGATGGCCACGCTACAATCCCTTCTCCTCCATTCTCCTCTCAGGATCTTGGGCACGTTCGCACATGCACCCAACGTGAATTTAAGCCACCGGGTCTGGGGCTCGAACTGCAGTCGACTACATGGGAGTTCAGTGACATAGCCATTACGCTAACTGCTGATCCCTCTCTCACTCTCTTTTAATTAGCTATAGGGTATATGTGCTTGTCCCAGAGAGAGAGAGGGGAAAACAGCCCCAGGAGGATGACCATGCCACAGTCCCTTCTCCATTCTCCTCTTGGGCACAAATGCACATGCAGTCAGTGTTTTTGTCCCCAAGCCGCTGGGTCTGGGGCTCAAACCATGCAGTCGGCCATATGAGATCCTGCTGCCTTAACCATCATACCACTGGCTGGACCCAAGCTCTCTTCTGTGCATATTAAGTTTAGTTTCTTCCATTTTATTTCTTATACCTTATTTCTTTATTGTGTCTTTTTGTACTGACTAGGACTTCCAATTAATTATGTTGAATATTAGTAGAGATAGAGGCATCATTGTCTTGTTCCCAGACACAATTTTTGAATTTATGTTAATTTTTTTGGAGAGGTTTTTGCTATAGGATGCGTGTACTCACCAGAAAGACAGAGAGAGACAGAGAGACAGGAAGCGAAAAATCCCCCCCCAGAGAGGATGGCCACACCACAATCTCTTCTCTTCCATTTTTCTCTCGAGATCTTGGGCATGCATGTACACGTGCCTGACATGAGTTTAAGCCACCAGGTCCGGGACTCGAACTGCGGTTGACTACATGGCTGACTACTATTGTATCAACTGCTGCTGGTCCGTTTATGTTAATTTTTAACTTCTTTTTTTTTAAAGTAATTTATTAGGACCAGCAGTTAGCGTAATGGCTATGTCACTGGACTCGCATGTAGTCGACCACGGTTTGTGTCCTGGACCCGGTGGTTTAAAACTCACGCAGGGCACATGTGTGTGCATGCCCAAGATCCCGAGAGGAGAATGGAGGAGAAGGGATTGTGGCGTGGCCATCACCCCCAGGGGTGATTTCTCACTTTCTGTCTCTCCATCTATCTGGCGAGCGCACATGCCCTATATCAAAAACCTCTCCAAAAAAAAAAAAAGAATTAATTTATATAACTTTATTTATTTACTTTAATTTTACCAGAGAGGGACAGGTGGAGGGGGAGGGGAGTGAGAAAGCAAGCTACCAGGTCTGGGACTCCAACTGGGGTTGGCCATGTGGGAGTCCGGTGCCCTTTACCACCATTCCACCTGCTGGCCCCAATTTTTAACTTCTTAAATGTATATTTGTACCCTCCCCAATTAGACGAGGACTCATTAAACATAGACTCCTTGTCCTAAAATTATATGTATTAGTGAGCCAGCCCCATAGCACAGAGGTTAAGTACCGTGCAGAGGAAGCTGGAACCTGTATACCGGTCTGGAGTTTGAGTTCTGGATCTGGTGACAACACACTGGGCATGAGTATGCTGATAGACACAATCACACCACCATCAGGATCCTGATAGAATGGAGAATTGGAACAAAAAGGATTATGACATGACCAGGCTACCCGAGACCTGCCATGTTAGAGGGCGCTTTCTGTCTCTCTCTCTTTTTTTCTCCTCTCTCCTGTACACATATGACCTTCGCTACTATATTAAAAACAAAGCAAAACAAATATTGGGTCATTGGAAAAGTCAAGACATATTTTTCTATGCAAAAATGTATCATGACTTTTCCCACAACCTAAGAGAATTGTATGTATCTCTAATAGCATCTAAAATAGCGTTCAATGTATAGTAGATTTGTAGTATGTTTTTATTGAATTAATGAATGAATCTGCATTTACTGGCTCACTATATTGAGTTGTCTTTAGAATTGTTTTGGTGATAGTGATGAAGTGGAAAATATTTCTAAGTTACATTTGGTTAGATTAATCATACTTTTAATTTAAATAGTGCTTTTGTTCTTAGAAATTCAGTGCTCTTAAACATATTAGTGTTCTGTAGTATAAATGCAACTCTTTATAAACCACTATTATTTTCTTATTTTACTTTTAAGTTTATGTTAATTATAAATTATTATTAATTATGAAATTAATAAAACCACATTACAGAAATTCAGAAGATAGGAGGAAAATACCCCCCAAATTCCCCCCAGCCTGCTACAGCCACTCTTACCATTTTATTATGTTTCTTTCCAGTTCTTTTACATGCTTATAGTTCCATAGATGTAATTATCAATTTGTAAAGAATACTGTACTAGGCATTTTCACTAAATATTTTATAATAACCAGTACCTAATATTGTTTAAGAAATGGTTGCTGGGGGCTAGCAGGTGGTGTGGTAGTTGAGGTGCTGGACTCCCACATGTCCAACTGTGGTTCAAGCCCCAGACCTCCTGGCTTATTTTCGTATTCTTTCTCTCACTGTCTGTCTCTTTCTGGTCAAATTGAATAATAATAATAATAATAAATAACATTAAATAAATTTAAAAAGAAAGAAATGCTTGCTGAATGAATGAGCATTGTGTCAGAAGAATTTTTCCACTGTCTTTGTAACTATAAATTTTAACATAAGCATAACAGCCCATGAAATAGATGTAGCATAATTTATTTCATCATTTCCCTTTAATTGGAAAGTTTATATAATTTTTTTGTATTGTATAGTTGTGTTTTTTTAGAGAATTATTTACTTATTTATATCCATTTGTTGTTATTATTATTATTATTATTATTTTACTTTGACCAGAGAGAGAGAGAGAAAGAGAGAAAGTTAGAAAGCAAGCTGCCAGGTCTAGGACTCGAACTGTAGTCAGCTGTGGGAATCCAACACCCTTAGCCATCATACCACCTGCTGGCCTCAGTATTGTATAGTTTTTTTTTTTTTTGGGGCGTGTTTTTTGTTATTGGGCAATCGCTTTCCCGGTGTTTTGCTATAGGGCGCATGCGCTTGCCAGACAGACAGAGACAGAGACAGAAAGCGAAAAATCTCCCCCTGGGGAGATGGCCACGCCGCAATCCCTCTCTTCCCTTCTCCTCTCGGGATCTTGGGCATGCATGCACACGTGTCCTGTGTGAGTTTTAAGTCACTGGTCCGGGACACAAACTGCGGTTGACTACATGGGAGCCCAGCGACATAGCCATTATGCTAACTACTGATCCCAGTAGTGTATAGTTTTTAAAGCAGTTTTTACTAAATTAACAGTGCTGCAATTGACATTTTCATGAATGTAGTTCTCTTTCTCCCCTTTACCTTGAGTTATTTCTGTGGTCTGGAATCATAGAACTAGGTGTACTGAGTCTAGAGACTTCAGAATTTGTATGGTTCTTGATATAAGTGTTCTTTGAAAGGATCCAACCAGTTTTTAGTGTTATTGATGACAAAGGGGAGTGGTTTTCTCTTTATGAGTTTTTTTGGCTTGTATCCATGACTTCTTATTTTTTTTATTCTGCATTTCTTTCAGATTCTTGTCTTTTACTTTCTGCGTTGTCTCCTGGCTTTTGTGAGCTGTATTTGTGAACTTTACTTTTACAAGTGAGTATAAAACCTGTGCTTCTATCAGAATTATGAGAGAGCCCCGTATAGCATAGATTCTCTCTTTGGTGGTCTAGGCAGTGATTAGAAGAAAAAAAAAACACTTAAACTGCAAAGTGATCTACTGATTCAGTACAGTCTCCATCAAAATTCCAATGACATTCTTCACAAAAATAGAAGAAACAACGCTAAATTTTTTTTAAAAGAATTATTTTATTTAACTTTATTTATTTACTTATTTATTTTTAATTTGACCAGAGAGGGACAGAGTGAGAGAGAGAAAGAGAGAGAGAGTGAGAAAGCAAGTCACCAGGTTTGGGACTCGAACTGCAGTCAGCTATGTGGGAGTCCAACGCCCTTAACCACCACTCCACCTGCTGGCCCCACAAACCTAAAATTTTTGTGAAATTACTAAGACCTCATAAAGCCACTACAACTCTGAGCAAAAAAGAACAAAGCTGGAAATAGCACCATACCTTCAAAATATACTATAAAGGTGTAGTAATCAAAACAGGATAGTAATCAAAACAAACATATAGGCCAATTGAACTAAATAGGGAACCCAAAATTAAATTAACATATTTATAGATAACTGAGTTGAACAAGTGCACCAAGAACATGTATTGGAGAAAAGATGGTCACTTTAATAAATGGTGCTGGGAAAACTGGATATACATAGATAGAAGAATATAACCAGACCCCCAACCCCCCCGCCCCATATCTTAATGCATACCAAAAAAATCAATGAAAAAATAAATCAAATACATAAATATAAGACCAAAAACAATGTTACTGTTAGAAGAAAATGGGGGGGAAATACTTCAGGGCATTGGTGTGGACAGTTTTTTTTTAATATAAGATGTCAAAAGTATAGGTAAAAATTAAAAATGGTCTGATAGAATTATAAACTAAAAAGCTTCTGCACAGCAAAAGGAATATTCAGCAGAGTGAGAGACAACCTGTAGAGTGGGAGAAAGCATTTGTAGACTCTTTATCTAAGAAGGTGTTACTATTCAGGATATATAAGGTACTCAGACAACTCAACTGCAAAAAAAAAAAAAAAAAAATCAATCAATCAATAAAAAGTGAGCAAATGATCAAAAGAGTACATACAAATGGCCAGCAAATATATGAAGACTGTTTAATAGTAGTAATCATCAGAGAAACACAAATCAAAACCACACAGAGATATTGTCTCACTCTGGTTAAACAGGGTGAGACCACAATTCGCCATGTGGATATCATCAAAAAGACAGAAGATTACCAATTCTGGTGAGGATAGAGAGAGAGGGGAACTTTTGGGCACTATTGGTGGGAATGTAAATTAGTACAGCCATTCTGGAAAACAGTTTGAAGGTTCCTCAGAAAACCAAAAAGAGAACTACCCTATGATTCCAGTAATCCCATTACTGGGTATATGGCTACCCAAAAAGAAGTCTGTATGACAAAGAGATCTACAATCTAGTGTTTATTTTAGCACTGTTCATAATAACCAAGTTCACAATCAACCTAAGTCTCCCTCAACAGCTGAACGGCTAAAGCAAATGTGGCATGTAGTGTATAATATACAAACATGTGCATACACACACACACTCATCATGAAATACACTATAGACATTAAAAAGGATGAAAGCCTGTCATTTGCAGCAACAAGGGTGAACCTAGAGGACATATGAAGTGAAATAAGCTGGGTACAGAAAGGTAAGTACTCCATATTCTCACTCATGTGGAAGCTAAAAAAGTTGATCTCATAAAGCAGGGAGTAGAATAGTAGTACCGAGAAGCTGAGAAGGGTAGGATGGAGATGGAGATAGAGAGAGGTTGATTAACAAGTACAAAAACAGGAAGACTAGTTCTGGTGTTCTGCAGCACGGGAGAGTGACTATACTTAGTAACTTATTGTTTATTTTGAAGTAGTTAGATGAGAAGACCTTGAATGTTTCAACAGAAAGAAATGAAAAATGTTGGAGGTGATGGGTTTGCAAATTACCCTTTCCTATAGGTGGTAGACATAATCTTAGCTTATAAAGTATACATTTCCTCTTAGGTAAAGAGCTTTTCTTCTGTATCAGGGTTATTAAGAATGTGTGGGTTTCTTATACACATGAAATTACTAACAAGTCTGTCAAGACCATTCTATACTTGACTGATACAGGTGTGTTTTTCTCTTTTGATTTGAAATGTGTGTCGTTAATATTCATAATGCCAGTGTCCTTACCTTTCCTGTAGGGCTGTGTGCAAGAAGTTTGGGCTGCATGTGAGTCGAATGATGCTAGCCTTCTTGATTCTTAGCACTGGCATGTTTTGCTCATCGTCAGGTAAGTGAAATGGCAGGTCAACCAACAGTTCCCAGTCGCATTAAAAGCAGCACTTGTTCAGATGTAGGTTATATATATATATTAATTTTTATTAATTATTATTATTCCTTAATTTGCTATAGGGCACATGTGCTTACCAGAGAGACAGAGTCAGATAGAGGAAAGGTGAGAATGTGCTTACCAGAGAGAAAGAGTCAGATAGAGGAAAGGTGAGAAAGCAAGTTGCCAGTGGCAGGACTGAAACCGCGGTTGGCCATGTGGGAGTCCAGCACCTTAACCACCACGCCACCTGCTCGTCCCTGTAGGCCGTATTTGTATAACAGTAATTTGCAGAGCACTGTTATCTACATTATCTTAATTGACCTTTACAACAATATTATGGTATAAGTAAGAAATATTTTTTCATTTTTGCAGGTGAGAACACGGAACTTTAGGTGGAATGACATACTATAAAATCAGTATTTATAGGTAGTAGAGCTGATAGTCTCACCAGGGTGCAGGAATGTACCTTGCACATTCTCATACAAGGGGAATCTTCACAAAGGTCATGGAAAATGTGTATTATGAAAAACTATACATAAATTTTAAAATTCTTTTGCACCAAAATAAACTTACACTTTAATTCCATTTTCCCGTAAGTTTTTGAAGTCTCCATAGCTTTTCATTTTTCTTTTGTACAATAAGGTTTTAGAAATTTTGAATAAAAGGGACCAGCAGGTGGTATAATGTTTACATTGCTGAATTCCCATGTAATTGACCATGGTTTGAGCCCTGGACTTGGCAGCTTAAAAACTCACACCAGGTGCATGTGCATGTGTGCTCAAGATCCCAAGAGGAGAATAGAGGAGAAGAGATTGTGGCATGGTCATCCCCCTGGGGGGGGTGATTTCTCCCTTTCTGTCTCTCTGTCTCTCCAACAAGCACATGTACCCTGTAGTGAAAAGTCCCTCTTAAAAAAAAAATTAGAATAAAAATCCTGATCTATCCCAACACAAAGTCATGGCATGTGATTGAGGTGACAGGTACTCATTACCTTCTTTCACTTAATCACTACAGATTGTGCTCCTGTACTGAAAAATCACATTGTAGCCCCACAAATATGTATATTTATCATTTGTTAATAGAAAAGAGAGAGGTCTGCATGCTGATGTTCATTATAGCACTACTCACAATAGCAAAATTGTGGAAACAACCCAAATGCCCCAAAACAGATGAATAGATTTGGAAAATGCAGTGTATATACACAGTGGAGTACTATTCAGCCTTAAGAAAGAAGGAAATTCTGTCATTTTTGACAACATGGATGACCCTGGGGAATGTAAGCCAAGTGGAGCCAGGCACAGAGAAGCAAATACCAAATGTTCTCACTTACTGTGGGATCTAAGACAGTTGAACTCATAAAAGCAGAGTAGGAAGATGGTTACAGGGGTTGGAGGGTTGGGGATGGGAAAAAGGGAGATGATGGTGAATGTGTACAAAATCCCAGAAGGAATAAGTACTTTTTTGAGATCTATTGTACAGCATGGTGAATATAGTTAATAATAGTGTATTATATTTATCAAAATAGCTGAGAGATTAAGTTTCAGATGTTCTCACCACAAAAAATGGTGAGAATGTTTGAGGTGATAGATGTTCATACATTTGATTTAATTATTCCACATTGTTTTTATAAAGCATAATATTTTTTAATATCCCATAAATTTATATAGTTATAACTTATCAGTTTAGGGACCAGCAGTTGGCGTAATGGCTATGTTGCTGGACTCCCATGTAGTCAATCATGGTTCGAGCCCTGGGCCCCGTGGCTTAAAGTCACACTGGACATGTGTGT